TTTAGCTAATTTTGGAAAGTGGTTTATGTTGGCTGCACCGTGCTAATGAGCAGTTCTGGTCCTATTTACATACTTGTCTTGTAAAGAGTCCCCTCTCCCTCTCTCTGCCTCCCAGCGTTAACGGGATGCTCAGCTCACACTGGATGTCTGGATCACACATGAGCCAGGAACCTCTCTAGAGGTGTCATGAGGGCATTTTTTTGCAATATAACAAGCCCTGGAATGCTGCTGTGGTGGGGCGGTGGCTTGCAGTCTTGACAGCCAAGGAGCTAGATTGTTCACCTGTGCTGTATTTGGAGGAAAACCTTAAGGTAGCTTGTAATCACGAGAGGCCTGGGATCAAAGCGGTAGGCCCTGCTTCTGATCTCATTCCAAATGAAGTCAGCGGTTGGAATCCAGGCCTGACCCCTTCCTGCTCCCCAGCCTCACTGTATTCCTGGGGTGCAGATGAAAAGAGTGAGGGTCCCAGCCCCCTTGTCAGGAGTGATTTCTAGTCCCATAAGAACATGATTAAAGAGTGGATTTGTGACTTGAGAAATTTCTTTTTAACTCCTCTGGTGCAGAGTTCAGGGCACTGGGGACAGTTTCAAGGTAGTTGTGGTCTTGTGGATGACCTTTACACTGTGGCCCAGTTTTTATTTTAGTCTTTCGGATGTCACCCCTTGGGTTTCCTTGGCACCCTAGAGCTTGCTTCTCACCTAAGGAAAGACATTTCAGACGCTTCCCCAGTCTCTCTGCTTCGGGAGGGATCAGGATGGGTGTGGAATGGCACTGTGGCTCCCAGAGAGGAAGATATGTGACTGCAGGCCCCAGAGCAAGACAGGAGGGCTTGTTGGGTGCAGCCCCCAGCCCTTGCATTGACCTGGGTGGTCTTGGTCAAAAGCCTTCCCTTAGTTTCCTTGTCTCATTCTCCCCATTGTGTGGCCTTCCCTACAATCAGTAGCATCCAAAGGTTAGAACCAGTGCCTGACACGTGCACATTGAGGCTGACTGACTGAATGAACCATCTAGCTTGACCATTCTCGGCCTCAGCGCTGTCGGCCGTCTGACTGGGCGACCCTTCCCCAGAAAGGGCCGTCCTGCACATCGTACAACTGCCACTGACCTCTACACACAAGATGGCTGTTGACAACCCCCCCACCTGCATTATGGCAGCCTTAAGATGTCGCCCATACAGTAATGCCTTCTCTTCCGCTCTTTCTCCACACCCAGTGAAGGAATGTGAATGAAACCATGAAATCCTATGAAAGACTATTAGAGCTTTGGGGGAAAAAAAGTGACTAAAGAGAAAGTATGCCTTCTTACAATGGTGACCTACTTAGACTTCTTCATTCTTCTCATAAGACTTACCACTATAAGGAATCCTAGCAGATGGCTGACTGAAATGTAGTAAGGCTAGCTTTGCAAGAAGAGCCTGCCGCGAGCTATGCACGATGCTGTGTGCGCTGAATGTTCTACAGATGTGCAGAGTAACTGTGTCCCTGACCCTTGGGAAGAGTTCTGTAGAAGTACAGTGTTGTACAGTGCTTTTCTTAAGTGCCCCCCATAGTTTCACATTGTTATTCTAGTACCAAAGTATTTAGCCTTATTACATGACCCTTTCTAGGATAAATAAGAACTGTACCACTGCTAATTTTTTTTTATGAATACAACATCCTGCTTCCATGTATGTCTGCAGGCCAGAAGAGGGCACCAGATCTCATTAAGGATGGTTGTGAGCCACCATGTGGTTACTGGGAATTGAACTCATGACCTCTGGAAGAGCAGCCAGTGCTCTTAACCTCTGAGCCATCTCTCCAGCACCACTTTTAATTTTTGCATTAATAAAAACTCAGTGAAAGATGAGGTTTTCCGTTCTTCTTTTCCCACAGGTATATAATAACCTAAGCTTCTCTCATCAGCCACATGCAAGATAAACACATCCTATTAAAAAAGGGTGCGGGGCTGCAGAGATGGCTCAGAGGTTAGGAGCATTGACTGTTCTTCCAGAGGACCTGAGTTCAATTCCCAGCAACCACATGGTGGCTCACAACCATCTGTAATGAGATTTGGCATGCTCTTCTGGCCTTCAGGCATATAGACACGTGCTGTATACTAAATAAATAAATCTAAAGAATGTTAAAAAAAAGATGATACATGTAAAATAAAAAAAACTATATGGGTATACAGTACTTTTGTTTAGTTTTTAAGATTTATTTTATTTTATAATGTCTGATTATTGGCCTGCATGTATACATGTATACCACACATGTTCCTGCTGTCACATCAACCAGATGAGGGCACCAGATCTCTGGGAACTAGAGTCACTGACTGTCCCATGTGGGAGCTGAGAACTGAACCTAGGTCCCCTGAGAGAGCAGCGAGTGATCTTAACCTCTGCATCGTCTCTGCAGTTCTTGCTTGTCTTTTAAGACAGTGTCTCCTCTTGCCCCTGGTAGGCTTTCAGCTTCCAGTTCTCCACCTCTGCCTCCTAAGTGCTTGGATTACAGGGGTGTTTCAGAACCTTCAACAAATCCCAGACTTCTGTGGTGGGGATAACAGCTTGGACTGGAGGTGGTGGTTGTGGGTACCTGTAGTGCCAGCAACTCCAAAGACTGAGGAAGGAGACTTGCTTAAGCCTTCAAGTTTACCCTGGGTCACATATTTAAAGAGCCTCTCTTTAAATAAATATGTGTGTATGTGCATATACATAACTATATATCATATATATCTGTGTATATAACCGTGTCTCTTTGTGGGTCCACAGCCTTCCATTAGATATCAGAAACAAGCCATCCCAGACAGTATTTTCTCTTATGGCTAAGACTTTCTTTTACAAGCAGAATTTTGTAATAGGGTAAAGGAGTATTTAGAAATGTAATTCTTATTATACTTACAACCAGAAGCAAACTGCCCCCTCCCACACCGTGTGCCAGGGCAGGGCAGTGATCTCTTCCCCTCTCTCTGCTTTCCCCTCCCTTCCAAGATGGTAGGACCTGGGGCCCTCATGACTATACAGCAGCAGTGTGCCTGATGAGGCTGGGTGTTTCCAAGGAGAGGAAGCCTGAGTTTAGAAAAAAATAAAGCAGCAGGAGAGAGTCCCTTCAAACTGGATCTGTGTGGGCTCTTCTAAGATGTCACAGTTTCGGTCAGGTGTCCCATGGCTTATTTAGTTAGCTAAATAATGAGAGCCACTATTTCTATGAGAGCCACCATCTATTAGAGCCACCATCTATGAGAGCCACCATCTCTATGAGAGCCACCATCTATTAGAGCCACCATCTATGAGAGCCACCATCTCTATGAGAGTCACCATCTATGAGAGCCACCATCTCTATGAGAGTCACCATCTATGAGAGCCACCATCTCTATGAGAGCCACCATCTATGAGAGCCACCATCTCTATGAGAGCCACCATCTATTAGAGCCACCATCTATGAGAGCCACCATCTATGAGAGTCACCATCTATGAGAGTCACAATCTATGAGAGTCACCATGTATGAGAGTCACCATGTATGAGAGTCACCATGTATGAGAGTCACCATCTATGAGAGTCACCATCTATGAGAGTCACCATCTATGAGAGTCACCATCTATGAGAGCCACCATCTATGAGAGCCACCATCTATGAGAGCCACCATCTATGAGAGTCACCATCTATGAGAGCCACCATCTATGAGAGTCACCATCTATGAGAGTCACCATCTATGAGAGTCACCATCTATGAGAGCCACCATCTATGAGAGTCACCATCTATGAGAGTCACCATCTATGAGAGCCACCATCTCTATGAGAGTCACCATCTATGAGAGTCACCATGTATTAGAGTCACCATCTCTATTTGATCCACCATCTATGAGGGTCACCATGTATGAGAGCCACCATCTCTATGAAACCATGATAAAAGCATGGAATGTGTGGGACATTATAATATACCCCCAGAACCCAAGACCTCTGGAGGTAGACGCAGATCTACAAATAGGTGGAGAAGGAAAATGTTGGAAGTCGGTAGCAGCGTGGCCACTAGCTTTGGAAAGACTGACACAGAGCTGAACTATCCTCGGGTTAGAGCTTTTAAGATGAAACACTTCCCACTGGTTGTGGCTATGCAGACTATCTAGCCGTTGCCCGGGAATGGAGAGTAAATACTGGTTTGAGTACATACAAACCTCAGAGGTGTCTGGGAAATCCTGTGGCAGGAGTCATCTGTGGATGAGAGTGGAATCCTTACTGTGTAGTGCAAATTCTATGAAGTCAGAGATGGCGGTACCTAGTCAGAGTGGTTTCTTTTTACTTTTGGTCACCAGAGACATTCATCAAGCCAGAATAGTCTCCTTTAAAACAAAAAGTAATTAGGCCTGACAGCTGAAATGAGACCTTTGGGGATGACCTAATAGCTTTTTGTTCAAGGCCTGGCATCGATTTGTCCCTGGCCTTGGTGTCAACACGAGCAAACATGGGCAACCTCTGGCTAGTGGCTGTGTCCTTGCCACTGAGAGGATACAGGACAACGACATCCCAGAGGTCCTTGGCCTCTGCCGTCACCTGCAATGCCTGTCAGGCTGGGAATTCTGTGGGTGAACACGGATTCCTGCTGAAACTGCCACTCACTGTTTGGACCTTCGGCTGCCGGCGTCTCTACCCACGGGGAATTTCCCCCAGCAGCTAGAGGATGGGCGGGTCTATCAGTTTCCTCCCCACCTCTGCGTCACTGGCAACTGCTTAGTTTTGAGGATCACACGGTGGTGACATTGATCACCATGGGAGCTCTCATTCCACCCTAGTTATTTTTGGCATCTGTAAGCCATCCAAGGCCTCGACTCCTGGCACCATGTGGCTGGGATGTTAAGTAACTGCTTCCTGTGCGAGTACAGGCAAGGCTTTGAGAGCCCTAACCTTCTCCATCTATCTCCTTGGTTGCTTTGGGTGCATTCTGCCTGCACTTGCTCACTCCTAATGAGCGTGTCTGGAGAAAGCTGAATGTGCACTCAATGTGTCTTGTGTTTTTCTCCTCCTCCAGATTGAGAACATAGATGCCTGCTTGAATTTCCTGGCAGCTAAGGGAATCAACACCCAGGGGCTGTCTGCAGAAGGTGAGTCAGAGCCCACGCCTCCTCAATGCTGGCGATGCCCGCCACCTGTTACCAAACAAGCAATGACTGCAGTCAAGACCAGGGGTGCTGGTGGGCCATCCTGGTTGGGTGCCCTTCCGGGCAGAGTTGAGGATGCTGACTTTGGGACAGCTCACAGATCCTCTCAGAATGCGGTCCCGGTGTGTATGCGACGCCTGCATGCCGCAGAGGGGGTGTGGAGAAAAGAGGGAGCACGCTGCTCCAGTTGGAGGAGTGCCTGCTCGAACAACACTGATTCCTGGTCCTGTGGTGCAGCAGGTTATCCATCAGCCGCTATCTGTGGGAAAGAGAACGCGCAACCACAGAACACAGTTCAACCATCCAGCGCCCGGGGGACCTGCTTAGTCCTTAGTGGTGTAGCGCCGTACACCTTACTCTTGAAAACAGGGAGGGTGAGGTCTGTGAACACGCTACCGCATTCTAACCTCCTGATTGGCTTTTCATTAACCTGGATTTGGTGGCTAATTAGCACTGATAGTGTCTGCTAGAGGTTTGTTGTCAGGTGGGGTAATGGTTTGGAGTGAGCTGGCCGGAGTTATCTGCCTCTTCAGACAGCACCTCCTCCTGGAATCTTCTCAGAGTCCTCAGTCTCTCTCTCTCCCTCTCCCTCTCCCTCTCTCTCTCTCTCTCTCTCTCTCTCTCTCTCTCTCTCTCTCTCTCTCTCTCTCTCTCTCCCTCTCTCTCTCTCTCTCTCTCTCTCTCTCTCTCTCTCTCTCTCTCTCTCTGTGTGTGTGTGTGTGTGTGTGTGTGTGTGTGTGTGTGTGTGCCACCCTTCACCCCCTCCCCCTGTCTGTAAATACAGGCAGCTGCCAACTCTGAAGCTGCCATAGGCCAGGCATCTTCCCAACCTCATAGGCTGCATCTGCCTCCGGTTTTCCCCGGAACAGGTAGAGCAGTCGGACCGTTCCAATTGCTCCTCCTAGCATAGCAGGAGTGTGCTCTGAAAAGACATAGGGGAGCGCTTGCCCTGTGAGTTGGGGTGGGGCTGAGGGGAGCACTGAGGCCGGAGTCCACGGATGAAGCAGGTAAGTCTGCCGACCTCACCGGTTCCACAAAGCCCTGCCTTTGCCAAGAGGTGAAAGCTTGGATCTTCTGGCTGTGTTTCTGAGCTGTTGTCTCCTCTGTGTTGGAGGCGGGTGGCATCCATGGCTCCTGGGCACGCATAGTGTGCCTCTGCGTGAATGTGTCAGGAAGGAGTTGGAATTCTCCTTTTGCTAAGCCTGGCCGTGGGCAGGCCTGGTCACCCGGTTCCAAGAGTAACTTGGACAACCTTAATCTCAGGGCTTACAGAAGGATTCCTAGAGGATTGCCCTGCCTGGGCTGTTGGCCTCATCTCTGTGGACTTTGTGTACATTGCCCAGACCCACGGGGTTCAGCAGCAGGCACAAATTCAGACAACAGGATGTTCCTCCATGCTATTCTTGTGCCGACCAGTAGGTGGCAGAACACATTCCTCTTAGTGTCTGGAAATGGAGTGGGCTTCAGTACTCCCAAGAGAGCACTTGCAGGGACTTTTACAGAGTTGTACTCTGTAGCAAGGAATCGAGGAGACGTTCATTGCGTGGGCTTGCCTCCTCACTTAGTCCTGGGGGTGACCCCTGGCCACTTTCCAGCTGCCTGCTGTCTGTCTTTCTGCTTCATTTGTTCTCCTATCTGCCCTTCTTAGCTGTACTCCAAGGCATAGGCGTCTGCCCAGTGAGTATTTACTAAACAAATGCCAAGCATGCTCTGGTGGGCCTGTCCGCATTGGCTGCGGTTCTCACGGCTGGAGCTGGAGTTTATGGGACTCGTGGTTTACTGATGGAGAAAGTGGCTGAAAGCTCTTATGAGTAGGGCTGGAGACAGGTTAGTGGGTGAAGCGCTTCTTTGTGCCAGCATGGAGACCTGAGCTGGAGCCCACAGAACCCATGGAAAATCTGGGCATGGCATCCCATGCCTTGCCTGGAAACCTCGTACTTAAGAGTCAAGAAAGGGCCGGTTATGGTGGTGCACGCTGGTAGGATTTGCTGAAGGAGGCAGAGGCAGGAGGATCACGAGTTCGAGGCCAGCCTGGGCTATACATTTTAGCCGGGCGGTGGTGGTACACGCCTTTAATCCCAGCACTCCGGAGGCAGAGGCAGGCGGATCTCTGTGAGTTCGAGGCCGGGCTGGACTGATAGCCTCCAAAACAATACAGAGAAACCCTGTTTCGAAAAACCAAAAAAAAAAAAAAAAAAAAAAAAAAAAGAGTCGAGAAAGGTAGAGGTTGGGGACAGGAGGATCCCTGGAACTCTCAGTCCAGACAGCCAATTGGTAAACTTCAGGGTCAGTGTTAAAATAAATGAAGAGACATGGGGAAAACGCCAGACACTGATCTGTAGCCTCCACATCTGCGGCTCCCCCCATAGTGCATTTGGACATACTCGTGCTCACACACACACACACACACACACACCAGTGTATATACACACAGAGAGATTGTGACCAACACCTCTGGTAAGTGCTGATTTACCACGGCGCTGTCTCTGGGAAGGCCCCCCAGGCTGCCCAAACAGGCATCTGCCTTTTCTTAGCAGCACTGGACACTACTTCCTCAAGCACAGTTCTTGTTAGTCGTAATAAGCTTGCAGAGCAGGAACCGCCCCCCCAAAAAATAAACTGCTCAGTGTGCCCAGCTGTCAGTGGAATACACCTCACTCTTGACCACTGCTTCTCCACCGCAGGGGAGGATGGACCCAGGCCCCAGAAGAACGAAGCCCAGGTATCCTCACAAAGGCCACCCCCACTCCCTAGGACAGGTTGTCAGATATGACAGGTGGAGTCTGGAAGGACTATGGGACAGAGCAGATCTCGAACATCACCCCAGGGGCAGGGCAAGCTTATACTAGCAGACTCTGGCACAGCTCCAAGAGCAAAGAACCAGGCCGGAGCTTCAAGGGTACCGAGAGTGCAGGAGGCGTGGGCCAGGGGCCACTCCGACCAGCAGCAGCAACAGCACCTCTGTGGACTGCCCTCAGGTACCCACCGTCTGGGTCTGGAACAAAGGCTCAGTGTGGCTCTCTAAAGGCAGGTTGGGGCAGGTCTGCACCACCACAGCAGCGCAGGACAGGTGCACACAGCCCGCTGCTGCTTCCACAGCCAGCTGTAATCACTGGGAGGGGTTGGACCGGCATCTGAGGGGCTTTCCAGCCTGCCGCCTCTGAGGAGGAGCCTGGGGTACTGGATTGGCTTCAAAAGGAAGACAAAAAAAAAAGCATTAAAAGTGCATAAAAAAACATTATGATGATCTTCCGACATTACAGGGGCAAGTGGGAGGCCACAGACTCAGCGGTTATGGGCCATTCTTACAGGTGACTCTCGAAGGAGTGTGTGCCTTTGAAGTGATGTCAGTTGCCAACCTGCCCCCTCCTTTCATCTTGGGTGGGGGAGCAGGGAGTCTCTCTGGACCCTCGTTGTCCACTTACCATCATCCTCACTCGCGTCATCAGTGAGACACTGAGTGGCAGTTTCTGTCCCTCTGCACAAGGGTCCCCATGGCCTCTGCTTCTGTGCTCTCTCTTCCCCATAGATAGTGCCATTGGTGGGACACAGGGACACCAGAGTGGGGTGGGTGGTTGAGGGGCTCAAGGCAGTCATGCTGCCAGCTCATCCGCAGGGGCAATGCCACAGACGACCCACAGGGCTGGTGGGAGTTGGGGGGTTGGATGAGAGGTTCAAAGTTGCCATCTGCAGTAGCCTCCTCCTCATGCTTTGACACAAAATTCCTGCTGCCCTCTGGGCAGGTTTGCTTACATTGATATTCTGATGTCTATGGACTTTGTGACCAGGCTGGGATTCCTATTTGAAACGTTAAAACAAACCCAGTTTGGCAGCCACTCCTTTAATTTCAAGCAGAAGCCTGTAGGTCTCTATAATTTGGGGTCAACCTGCTCCATTTAGAGAGCATCAAGCCAAGGCCACAGAGTGACTCCCCAAACAACAACAACAAAAGTGTTGAAACCAAATAGCGTTGCCAGAGAAGGCTCTGTTTGTAGCATGCTTGCCTAACTAACATGCGGGAAGCCCTGGGTTCAGTCTCCAGCACCACATAAACCCAGTGTGGGGGTGCATGATTCTAAGCCCAGCATTTGGGGGCATAGACCCAAGAGTATCACAAGTTCAAGGTCATCTTTGATTATACTGAGATCAAGGCCAGACTGGGCTACACAAGACCTTGTTTCAAAAAGCAAAACAAAATATAACCAGTGTAAGCGTTTTTTGGGATGATCGGGTCCGGATGGGACAGGTATTCTGACACTCGGGAGTCACAGAATACTAAGTCTTACACAGCTCAGATGGAAGGGTATCCTGGAGCTCGGGAGCCAAGGACCACCACAGGTTGCAGTAAGCTTAGCTGCTTACAGCCTTGCCTCAGGGAAAGGTTTCTCCGGTGTACAGCTCTGCTCCAGCAGGAGAGGGTCTTCCAGCTGGGGATGTTTGCCCAGTGTAGCAGTTTTGCTCGGCCAGGGTGCATTTCTTTCACTGACTCTGATTCCAGGGACAAAGTGTGTTCCTTTGGCACTGGTTTCAGGATCAGGGTGCATTCCATTGGTTCTGGCTGCAGGGCCAAAGTGTGTTTCTTTGGCTCTGCTCAGGGTGTGTTTCTTTGGCTGTCCCTTTTCCCTACAACCAGCCTTTGGCTTAGCCATCATACTTGGCACCCACTTACATCTCTTATCTCTGTATCTGAGCATATTAGCGCAAGCCCGTGGGAACAAAGGGGTCAGGCAGAAACCAAAGGACGTATGTGTCCCGACAGCTGTGAATGTCACCGGAACCGAATGGTCTGTGCCGTTTGTCCTTCCATCTGAAGGAGGGTAGTTCAAGAAAAGAAAGCAAGTACTTAGCCAGGCAGGCACTCCCTGCGCCAGGCGCTTCTCTCCAGGTGTCCCCGTTTTTAACCTGCCTTACAAGTCTAGGTGAACCCGACTGATCACATGCAGGAGCCCTGGGAAGTGTCAGCATTCTTGTGGGCTTAGGGGTTTATTTCTCAGCTGCCTCTGTGGAACTGGCTCTCCACACAAATACCATTTGGAAATGTGGGCAGAACACAATCCTAGCTATTTGGGATGCTGTCTGTTACAGACCACCCATGGGTTAGCACTGAGAGCTTCCAACTCTGCTGAGTTCTTTGTGATACGGAAACAAAATTAAACAGTTCCATCAGCTGGGAAATAGTTAAGCAAAGTATGGTGTGCCCATAGAGTGATGTACTATGCAGCACTGTAAAGCCGTTGTGTGTTCTAACGTGGTTGGACAAAGCGTTATGCTAAGGGCTGGTGGTGTAGCCCAGTGGCAGAAGGCTTGCCTAGCACATATGTGAGGCCCTAGATTCAATTCCCAGTACTATAAAAAGAAAGTCAAACAACAACTACAAAACATGTGTGAAGTAAAAGAAGCCAAACGCAAATGCCTACAAATTGCATGATTTACATAAGATGTCTAGAAAAGGCAAATCTGTAGAGGCAGCAGATTTCCTGGGTGCCTAGGAGTTTTAGGACTGATTGCCACTGAGTGCAAGGAATTGCATCAATGGAAATGTTCTAGTATTAGAACTGATTAAATTCGCTGAAAAAAATCATTGAATTGAATACATGATTTTATGCATACAAGGTGTGTAGTGCCTCAGTTTATTGAAGAAGCAGAAAGAAAGCCATTGTTGAACCTTGTCCACTATGACGTTATTTGTGATGACTTTCTTTGTGTGACCTACAGAGAAACCTGGGCTTCCCTTGGGTGGAGAGCTGAGAGAGGGGGCTGAGGGGGCCGCAGGGAGGGTCCTGTGTTTTCTGAGCTCCACGTCCACGATGAGGCGGCACCGCAGGTGCGGGCACGCTCAGCTTCTCATGCACTGTCCCCACACAACAACAACGTCTGCACAGGAAGGTACATGGAGATGTAGTCAGTGTGTCAGAGAAGGAAACGGGGGGCCCAAGGCTCACGACAACACAGAGCCTTTAAATCATGGACTGCCGAGATTCAGCCCCCAAGGTTGGTTTATGGGTCCACGATCTTTATAAGAAAAATGCCCAGAAAAGGTGTGTTTGCTGGAGGAGTACCCACCGTCATCTCTGACAGCTGCAAATGCTTCAGGAGAAAGGGGAGCAGCAAATGGCTTGATGACCGTGGTAGGTAGGGAAGGGACAAGCCCAGTGGGGTCAGCTGCACTGGGTGGGCTGGCGAGCTCTGGGTGCTGATATGGACATGCTCCCTACTGTAGCAAGCAGACTCTGAGCCCCTGGGCATGCTGGGACTTTTCTTTTTCTTGTTTTCCCTCCTTTGTTTTTCTTGTGTGTGTGTGTTTTTTTAAATGTGTTAAGAAATGTTGGATGCACCAAGAGAACTTAGAATACTTCCATGCCCACGAGCTACCTTAATAAATAAAGCATTATCTGGTCTGTCTTTAAATTCACCACATGGGATGGGCATGCAAGCAGTCACAGTGTTAGGAAAACCAGGCCTTGAGCTAGAAAAATACCCGGTTCAAGTTCCACCTCCAGGGTTATTACCTTGGAGAAATCCCAGTGCCTTTCTGAGCTTCACTTTCCCCTTAAGTAACGGGGGGGGAGTGTGTGTGTGTGTGCAGGGATCAGAATAATAGACAGACACCATGCACTTGTAACCAGCAGAGCAGATAAGCACTAGGCAGTCATAAAACTTGCTAATTGCAAACGGCCCACTATCCTGATAACCGGGAATGGCACAAAAATAGAATTTGCATAGATTTCATCTCCAGGAATAGCTGTTATCTCTCCAGAGGATTCACATTTTGAGAGGAATTTCTCTGTTTCCACAAGTTCCCTCATAGGTGCTCATCTGAATGTCGACATTTGATTGACTCCTAAGTTTCATTTCTTACTCAGGTCTCTGTCCAACTGATGACCAGAGGTGTGTGTTTCAGTTGCTGGCTTCAGTTCCCCCATGACTGAAGTACTGACTGAGTCACCCTCCCCTCCCTCAGCCTCAAGTCTGCGATGCTCGTGTACTTATAAGGACATTTGGGGACAGGGTGCTGTTCCTTTGGTTTTCCTTGGACCGGAGAAGAAAGCAGCTGAGGGATTAAAACTGAGCTACACGGTTGCGGGGTGTTACCCTCGTCGCCGGCACTTTCTCTGTTGTCTGCGTTGTAAGGGATAGTTCATGAGCAATGGCTGAGCATCTCTGCTGGACTTTCACCTGTCGCTGTGGCACAGTTAAGAGCCCCATGAGTCAATATCAAGGTTTAGGGCTGGAGAGATAGATGGCTTAGCAGGTAAAGGCATTTGTTGCCAAATAACCTGAGTTCAATTCCTGGGGCCTACATGATGGGAGGAGAACACTAACTTCCACAAGTTGTCCTCTGACTTCCGCAAGGGTGTTATGGCATCCCCTTCCTCCTCGTGCACACCAAGCAAAATGTAGTTTAAAAATAAATTATAGTGTGTAAAAGCACCGACTGCTCTTGCAAGGGACCTGGATTCAGTTAACAGTAACTCCAGTTCCAGGGGCTCCAACACCCACTTCTGCAGGCAGAAGGCACAGAGGCTTTGAGCCTTGCAACATGAAAACGCATATATAAAAATACAGTGCACACACAGTTATGCAAGAAAGATACTCATGTTCGTAAAAGTAAGCCTTCTAATAACTAAGTCATGGTTTGCACAATGACTTTGGGGGAGGCATCTCTGGTACAGCGTGAAGCTGGAGCTGTGTGGCCATTTTCTTTGGGGTTCTGAGGCTGTGGTCTTCCTGTAGCGCCAAGAGTGGTAGAGAGTATCTTTGCTCACGGCGAATCTTGATGCAGATGCCCTCATTCACTCTGCAAGGACGGCTTTGTGTGATGGGGCTGCCTGTGGAAGTATCATTGCCTTTCCTCGAGGGCAGGAGAGATGATGTGACTTGCACAGCTAGAGGTGTAGACTCTGTAAATTCCGTGCTCGCCCTGTCAGCCTTCACAGAACACGCTAGCCTCCAAAGTGTGGCAGGAAGACCAAATTCCAGAAGTCTGTATTGTCGGTTCCTTCACAGCCTGGGGAAAGGGATGCTTCAGCAAAACAAATGCTTTGTCCCATTCTAACTTGGGGGAGCGGCGGTTATACAACAGGCCCAAAGCCCTGGCTGGCCGCCATACCTTCTTTGCAGGGAACATGGCTTGTCCTGAAGGCATACATTAGTTTCCTTCACGCATTCTTCTCTGCACCAGACCTCGGAGGAACCCCTTGTGCCTTCTTGGGCAGGTTTCCTCAGCCAGGGCTCAGCCAGAGGCCTGGACTCCCCCATAGAAGCAGGACTGCTGACTCCCACCCTCTCACAAGGCCCCTGAAGCTTCCCTGGCCTTGCCTTGAGCTAGCTCGCTCACTCACCAGCATAGCAGGAGGGCATGGCGAGTGTCGCCTCTCTGGGTTTCCTTCTCTGATGTCCCTCTTTCTCGGTGGCCCTGCCACACCCCCTAGGAGTCAGTGGAGCCTCTTGCCGTCGGCAGCTGGTATTAAAAATGCTACATAAAAGGATGGATGTTTAGCTTCTGTGTGGAATAAATATTTTATTCCTTGCCACAGCTCTTTATGCATGCCTCGAGGCAAATGCATTTTAATGTCTGAAAAGTACTGTCTGGAACTTAAAACTCTCCCCGCTCTGTTCAAGTTTATTTTAACATAGGAAGTATTTCATGTGAGCCCTGATAGGCGCTGGTTCTTATGTTCTTGACCCACATTCAACCTGAATCCGAGTTAAGGATTCAAAGAGAGGCTGAGGCATGGGTTTGAAAAGGAAGATGAGTGGGTAGGGGACAGAGAGGATTTGGAGTCAATGGCAGCCACTTGGCATGCTTCGTGTGACTTGAGGCTCAGATGTGGACTTGGCAGAGATTGCACTAGACCGTGGTGTCTCTGCTCGTGCCAGAGAGCTGTCCAGATCCAGAGCCTTGCCCAGATCACAAGCTCAGTCTTGAGGAGGACGCTCATTCTTTCACTGGAGTTCTTACTGAGAAGTTCCTCCTGGCCCTGGCCAGCCAGCCAGCCAGTCCTGACATGCCTGGTACATCTACTACAACCCCATGGGGGAGACTAAACTAATTTCTTTATGGTTTAGGAGTGATCTTTATGGACCTTCAGGAGTTGAACTCAGGTAGGACTGAAGAAGCCCATTGAATGTGGATGAAAGGGTGACATGAATCTTTTATTTAAACTGTCTGTGCAAAGGCATTCTTGAACATTTGTTCTAAAAACCACATTATATATTAAGCAAGAAACTTAAGTTTAATTTTTGAAAACAGCAAGCAGATTGACTATGCTGTCATTTCCAGTTGAGACGAGGGTGGGGTGGACATATTACCTAAAAACATTGAAAATTTCATGGCAGTTTCACCATGCCACAGTTTGAGGTTTGCTGTTTCCTGTGCTTATGCATCTGGTAACAAGACTCTCCCTATTGTCTTTCAGAGATCAGGAATGGGAACCTCAAAGCCATCCTAGGCCTCTTCTTCAGCCTCTCCCGATACAAGCAGCAACAGCAGCAACAGCCCCAGAAACAGCACCTCTCATCGTCCCCTCTGCCACCTGCCGGGCCTCAGGTGGCCGGAGCCCCTCCCCAGTGCCAGGCTGGCATTCCTCAGCAACAGGGGCTGGCCGCTCCCCAAGCCCCGTGCCAGCCTCTCCAACCAGCTTCAAACCAGCAAGCAAAAGCACAAGCGGAAATGCAGTCCAGGTGGGCTCTGCGTGGGGATGTGTGGGGATGCGTGGGGAGACTGATCTTCAAGGCATTCTTCACCCCAGCTGCGTAGGGTAGCCTGTGTGGTCTGTGGTTTTCATTTGCGAGGAACTAGCATGGCCTTGAGATAGATACAAGGCTCCCCTATGCCGGGTGGAGATGTGTGCTCTTACAGGTCTGATGAACGGAAAGCAGCCAGTGCTAATACCTACCCCTGTCATAACTGGCCTGTAACATGCGTGTGCACGCGCACACATACACACACATACACACACACACACACACATGCACACACAGCCTAAATCACTGCAAACATGGACTTCAAGTCTTTTTGGGGTTGACTTAGAAGCCAAGTGTTCAGAGTCAGGTGCAAAGATCATTTTACATTAAGTGTGCCAAAGTTCTGTGCTAACACATGACCCCCCCCCCCCAGTTGCCACAGGAGCGGTAGAGGCAATGCCTAAGAAAAGTGGCAAGTGGCAATAGGGGTGAGCAGTGACGACAAATGTGCCTGGACTCAGTTGACCGTAGATCATGGGAGCCATGTGCCTTAAGCTTAGTGGAGGAGAGTCATGCTGAGCAAGAACATCCCTTGCCCTGCAGGATAGGGGCCAGGACCTTGCCACTCTTTCCAGAGGGACCCATGGCTAACAGTGGCCACAGAAGGAAGCAAAATGGAATTTAGTTATTGTCTGTGCTTCAGTGAGAATAGGCATGTGAATTAGTAAGCCATTCTGTAAAACATCACCCACAAGTCATTTGCTTTAGTGGCAGAAAAAAAGGACTGATGGGCTAGGGACTGGAAAGCTTTTGGCTTAGGAGAAAGTCCTATAGAAATGCCCATTACGACTATTTTCTTTAATGCTACCAGTCTTTAGCTGTGAAACCCAGTGCCACTGGCTGCTTGGTTTCATCGAAAGTGTGCTGAAAAGCCGTATGCCCCAAAGCACCAGTGCAGAAGGCTTCGTGTACTCTTTGGACTTTTTAATACCTGCTGGCTAGAAACCAAACCCAGAGCCGCTTGACCGCCAAATCCCATGGAGTCACAGCTGTGCTTCCCCCATGAAAAGTGCAGTTTCCCAGCTGGTAGGGTGTTACAGCCAGGAGTTATGGGTCTAATGTAAATGAGGCCCCCTAATTAATTATCTAATTGGTGCTATGGAAGTAGGACAGTTGCATGGACTAGCAATGAGAGAGAGAGAGAGAGAGAGAGAGAGAGAGAGAGAGAGAGAGAGAGAGAGAGAGAGAGAGAGAAGCAGCCACCAGTTACTGTGCTCTTTCCTTGGGAGGGATGCCCGATGGGGAACTGTCCCCTGGCTGGAGGCTCCCTGGTGGCCCTGGGTGATTTGCTTGACGAGTCCATCATTAACCATACCGCCTTCTGCACAGGCCCGTTCCCTGGGATGCTCACTAGAATTACAGTGCAGGGAAAAGTTTTGTAGGGGAAGCGGAGAGAGCATCCCAGTTGAGTTGCTATGATTGTCGTGCTCAGGACCCCGAATCTGCCAGTGTGCACCCCTTTATCAACTCAGCGCAAAGCCTTCTGTGTGCCAGGTCCTGTTGGTCATTTGGGAGTCAGAGATGGATGACAGCCACCATGCCTGCTCTTTGCACGTTGCTGGAGGAGGCTGCACACCAAGCCTGTGAACAGGGAGGAAGATGGGAGAGGCAGTCTGTGTGCGGGAAGATTGGGATTCAGGGTTGATAGTTTAGGTTGGGCTGATGGGAAGGCCCCTCTGAGGACATGGCACCTAGTGGAGAGAGATGGATGAAAAGAAACTAACCGTGCAGACCTCAACCTCAGAGACCTGGCAGAGGGAGCAGCTGGTGTGGAGCAAGCTTGGCATGAGAATGAGGAGAGACGGCACTGGAAGGCTGCCCGCGAGCAAAGAAGGCAGCTGCCACCTTCCTTGGGGAGGGGACAGTTGAGTGGCACCAAAGCCAGGCTGAATAAAGTGAGTTTGGACTCTGTTCTGAGGTGCCAGGAAGCTACAGGAGGCTCAGAGTTTAATTGGATTTACATTTTTAAAAATCTCTTTGGTGAATGAGCTTGTGGGGGAGTCAGAGTCCACTGAAGGACTTTGCAGTCTAGGCGACGTGAGTGGCTTGGGACAAGACGGCCTGAGGCAGACGGACCCTGAAGTGTATTTGGGAGTTAGACCGAGGGGCCGCCATCCAGAGTGGGGGAAGAAGAGAAAACCCAGACAATAAAGCAAGGTTTGTAGGTTTATAAGAAAAGCAGCTTGCTGCTAATGAACACTTTACCTCCCGAAAAGCCAAGCCAAGTGAAATTCATTTACTCTGACGGCAGAAGGGCTCTTGCCACCACGGCGCTGCTCTCTGTCCCTACACAGTGGTAGCACGGACGAGGGTTTGATTCCTTCTGCACACAGTGATCCCCTCTGTTGTGGCCCTGTTGCTTTCTACTTCTACTTTCAAAGGGATCATGCCAAGGTCTAGACGTGGGCTAGCCCATGCTAACCCTCTGGCTATGAATTTACGGATGATAAAAATTGCAGCACCGGCGGCTTGCACTGTGCTATTAGCCCCATTCTACCTTTGGTAGCCAAAGCCCTGAAGAGTAACCATTTGGGCCGTTGGCTGTTTGCATCAGGCACTGGTGGAAGCCAAGCCCGCTCTGGTGTTCAGTCAGGGCTCTTCAAGGTGCAGACATGCCCATTAAGAAGACGTCTAGGTTCAACATATCTCAGGGCAAGCAGACACCAACATTCGGCAGCTTTCTAGGAAGCTGGCCAGAGTTACTCAAGGACATCTGAGACACTGGGATGAGGATGTCAGAGCAGCTTCGTCACTGTACAGTCTGCATCAAGACTGGGCACTTGTCCATAGTCACAACATGAAGTGTCCTATAGTGTAGGATCTTAGGAAGGAACACACTTTCTAAGCCTTGCATCTTTTTTTTCCACTTGTGTCTACCTTGAATACAATCCATATTCCATTATCTAGGAAACATCCAAAAGTTGCTTGATTTCATTTTTCTCACCATTCTTACCCCTCCCTTCACTCTCCAAGAACAGTGTTTCTTAACATAGGTGTTTTTTTTCCCTGTGAATGGAGTGCAAGAAAAATGGATGTCAGATGATAACTGTTTCAGGCTAGGAGACAGCTCTGAGGTAGAGCGTGTGCTGTCCTCAGTACCCTAACTTTCATCTAAGAAGACATGAGAAAGATAAACAGCACAAAATAACTGTAAACTGTTCTTGATTAAATCTGACCAAGAGAAACCCTGTCTTGGGGAGAGGGGAGAAAAAGTCTGTATGTACACATTTATGGGGCATTTGCCTTTACACCCCAATGAACAGACTTGTCAAATAAATACGCCAGTGCTTTAGAAAGGATTGCTTTATACATTATAAATGCTTCATACTTCAGGCATTGCTCTGATTTAAAGAGGTGTAAAGACAGGAAGGAGGATTGCCACAAATTCTAGGCCAGCCCAGACTATCGACTGAGAGTGATTCTCAGATTAGCCTCGGCTTCAATGTGAGACCCTGCCACAGAAAACCAACTCAAACACTAAGTATAAAGAACGTGTGTAGTTGAGTGAAGGCAGTATTTAGGGGCACAACATGAATGTCCTGAGATGAATGTTTTGTTTTACAGTCATGGGGAAAGACCTAGGACCTTACACATAGTAGGCACATGCTCAGCTACTGAGCTTTCTCTTTACTTATTATTTTAAAGCAAGGTCTCGTTAAGTTGCCAAGGCTTGTCTTGAACTCACTCTGTAGCCCAGGCAGATCTTGGAACATGCCATCGATGGTGTTTTGTGCCAGTTTTGATGGTCATGGACTTAGCCTCTGAAACTGGGAGCCCCGATAAACTCTTCTATCAGTAGCCTTGGTCATGGTGTCTTCTTTAGAGCAATGGAAAAGTAGCGAAGACACTGTTCTCCTGCCTCAGCCTCCTGAGTAGCTCAGATTACAAGTCTAGGTTTTAGACCATCTTGAGTGTAGTTTCTTCACATTGTAAGTGTATCAAATCACTGGAGTTAGGTCTAATGAAAATATACAGAGGACCGGCCCAGGTACCTTCCTCTTGGCATGTCTAACGAGTCTGTTCTCCTCACTCATCTCCTTTTCCTCCTTTCCTTTCTATCCTGCAGTGTGTCATCCAAGGACTCATCTCAAAGCAAAATCATCCGCTTCACTCTGGGTCAGAAAAAGATCTCTAGGTTAGCAGTCCTGTGTGTCCTACAAAGCATGGTTCAAACCCAGCCCAGTCTTCCTGTTTCCTCCTCCCTGGCTGACTTCCCTTCTGATTCCCATCCTGCTCTGTGTCTCCAGTTGCCCGAACGCAAACATGCTTTGGCTAATGGTTCAGTGTGGGGAGTTCCTCCAGTGGCCTTGGGTAGGGGTGTGTTTATGTGTATGTGTGTAAGTGACTGGCTCCAACGGGATGTTTCTCACTGTATTGATTTCACCTCATTACCAGAATCCCATTCATAGGAGGAGGTGAGTTTCCGGGTAGTTGCATAGCAATTTTACGATGAATGCATTTGCTCCCTGCTCCATCCCAGCCCTAATCCGCATCTCCGCTCTGTGTGCAGTGCTTTGGCTATGGTCACTGTGGCTCAATTACTAACCGGGGGTAGGGTTCCCTGTGAGCCGAGATCTGAAATGTGAATCCACAGCAGAAGGCTGTCGTGTCCTGTTTTTGTTTCTGGATTCTCCTGCCCACCATGGGGAAGTTGCCTCAGTTTCTCGGAAAAACGAAAACAAAACCCAGCAAGCTAGTCTGCAGGCATCCTGTCCCCGAGCCCTGGGATGCATGCTTGGGTGTGGGAAAACCAGGTACATTGTAACATACACAGATTTGTTTAATGCCTGCAGCCCCCATGAGGTAATGAGGTAGGTCATAGGAATAGCCCCACTTTGCAGTCATGGAAACCGAAGTTTCGCAAGAGTGACATTTTCTCCCAGGCTACACAGAGGATGGAAGAGAGCCCAGGTTGCTTTGACCCAGAACCCATAGGCCTTACCACCCTTTCTTTCTCTTTATCATGCTGCTGTGATGTTGGTGACACTTCTGTGTCAAACCTTACTGCTCCGGCCACTGGCTCAGCCTTGTCCTTCACCCTGTCCCTGTGGTCCCCGAGTGAAGCCACACGGGGGTTGAATCTGCCCCGTGATGACCAAAGCTGTGTTCATTCCTGAAAGGGAATGAAAGCTGACGGTTAATTTCATCCATGTACAGATCTGTGACCAGCTGCCCCCTCTGCTTTAGGAGATGTTACCATCAGCTTCTTTTTTTCTGGAAATCTTGTGAGGGAGAAACTGCGTGGCGCCATGCCTCCGTGCACAGCCTACACGTGTTGTCTGTAAGAGAGTGCTCCCCCTGTTGGAGGAGGGGAGGCTGCAGCAGGAGTGGACGCCCCTTCACCAACAGGCTGATCCCACGGGATCTGAGCATCCTGGGAATGCATAAACACGTGAAAGGAAAGGGCAGCCTGGAGGAACCTGTGTCTGCTCCTGTGAAACCCAGCGCTCTGCCCTGAGAGACGAGAGAACAGGAGCTGGCTGGGAAGCTGTGCGATTGGAAGCGCCTGCCTGCTGTGCACTGGTACAGATGCTGGAAGGAGGCAGCCTGGAGAGAGGAAGAGCCGAAGACAAGGGCGCAGCTACCCAACCCCTAGCCTATGCCCAGAACAGAGCTCCCAGCCTCACCCTCGGCCAAGGCCTGGCTTCCAGAGTTGTTGCATCCCTCATCAAGAGGGTTTTGAGTGCATTTGTCTCTGCTGAGGCTGCACTCTTGGACTCCCCTCTTCCCAGACCTTACCCCTGGGTATCATTGTCAGGACTGAGACGGATTACTGTTAAGGAGAGCAGTAAACTCTTGATTGGCGAGAGAGGCACCCGCAACCTTCTCCCCTCCCAAGAGCTTGGAAGACGGGCGCCTAGCCGACGTTTAAATGCTGTTGGGATTCCTGCCGGGACTAAGTATCTTGATGGACACCAAGAATGTCCGGCAGAGTGATAAGCCTCGCCCTTGAGTGTGGGCCTCATGCATTTCTGCTGTCCATGGTGTTGTCACCCCTAGCACCTTCAGCAGAGTCACAGACATTTGCCATGTTCTTACTACTGGAGGCAGGAAAGCATGTTGACACAAGGGTACACCATGACACTTAGTGCTACCTGGGTAAATGATGCCCCCCCCTAGGAGCACGCTGCGTCTACCTTGCTTCCCACAGCGCGTCCTGGGGGCTTTGTAAAAGGCTTTCACGGCTTTAGAACATCGTCGGTGCTCAGTAAGTTGCAGAAGCATGGGTGATGTTGGTCTTCAGGGCTGAGCTAGGTATAAGGCGGCCAGGCGGGGTGGGTCCCTGCATGGCCTCCTTGGGGAGTGGAATTAGTGTGGTAGTCAGTCCCTCTGCGTAGCTGCTGAAAAGCAGATGCTGTGGAAATGAGAGATTTAGCATTCAATCACGTCTGGCAAGAAAGCGTCTCCTGTCCCGGGCTCCCCACCCGCCGCATATGCACACAAGCTGCTGTGCTTCCTGGGAGGGGCACCCCTCTGCTCCCCCCGGCCTTTGAAGTGGGTTGCGGGGGAAGAACTGCCCTCTTCCCTTCAGCACGTACATACAGCCCGTGGAGTGGGGGCACAGGGGGCTGTAGACTCCGTGCCGGGGCTAAGTTCGGTCCTCTGCTTGGCTCTCCACACCGTGGAGAAACCGACCACTGTTCTCACAGCAGCAAGACCTGCGTCTCACCTTCTCACAGCACTTCCCTTAATTTTTTTTCTCTCTAAAGCCCCATGCGTGTCTGGGAAAACCCATCTGTACCTTCTGTCCGTCTGAAGCTGGATGGGAAATGACTGTCAGTAGAAGTTCTACTGGTAGAACTTCCGGCAACTCTTAGTGCAGTGAACGGCACAGGGCTGGTCCGCCCGCCCGCCTCCCCACTGCCTTACATCAGTGAGGCTGTGTGGTGGGCAGCCTCTGCCATAGCCACCTGCAGCTGTTCCTACGGGGTCAGACCCAGCTCTTCAGCAGGGCAGGGTTCTAATGTAGCTGGCATCACGTGCTTCCAGGCTGGGGTCGATCCAGGCCCCCCTGACACACAAGGATGTTAACAGTGATGAGCTGCAAAATGCTTAGCCAGAGGCCACCGCCTGTGTGAGGCCATGGGCCTGTGTCACTGGTGGCCTAGGCATACTCTTATTTTTAGCTCCAGCTCTGCTCTCGGCCTCCTTAATTAGTGCTTCGGCCCTGAGGGATTAGACAGAACCCAGGCTTCCTAGTATGACCCACAAGATGGTCCCTCCTTCTGGTCCTGTTCACTTCCCCTGGCTGGTTCCCTCCACTCTGTCCCTCAAGAACTGGCACACTCCAGCTCTGTCCTCCACCCTCTCTTAGTGTGCTTTGCTTTTGAGATAGGGTCTCACTTGGCAGCCCAGGCTGGGGGTAAGTCTGGTTACCTACCTCAGCCTCACCGAATCAGGGCTACCGGCGAGAGCCCGCACCTAGCCATACTTTGGTGGCAGACTGTTTGCTGTACTGCATACAAGGCGGATGCTCTACCATTGAGCCAGCCCATTAGACCCCCCTTCCAGATCTCACAGAGCTGCCTTGGCTGACCTTGAACATTCTCTATTCATCTGGAATGGCCTCGACCTTTGGCCCTTCCCACCTCAGCCTCCTGAGTATCTAGAGTCAGAGATATGAGCCACCGTGCCTAGCTTCCCCTCTGGACTTTCTGCGAGCTCTCACCACGTGCGGCGGCCTTTGTCTTTGGAGCCTCTGCCTACATTCCCTTCCGCCACAGATCTGGGTCTTGCTCTGGGGTCTTCCTTTTCATCCCCTTCTGAAAGTTGTCACTTCATTTCTGTGAATTGTCTCTGCACCCATACATGTGTTACCTAGACGCTAGCTGGGGGCAGCCGGCTCCTTCGGATCCAGACAGTCTAGTCCTGCCTCCTGCCTCCTGTAAGCCAGTGGAGTGGCCTCCTGTGACCATCCAGCTGCCTTAGGACACCATGGTTGCCTTTAACTTTGAAATCCTGCACTTGAAATCTCATACTTCTGAACTAATTCCGTTAAGGGGGCAGCATACTGTCCCAAGGGGTGCCTTGGTTTCCTTGTGGCCAAGTTCCCACTTATACCACATCCATTCATAGTCTTTGTACACCATGTGGTGTCCTAGTTAATGTGACTTTGGTTGTAGATGAAACACCATGACCAAAATCAAGTTGGAGAGGAAAGGGTCTATTTGGCGTATTCTCCCATCTCACTGTTCGTCACTGAAGGAAGACAGGACAGGAACTCACACAGGGCAGGAACCTGGAGGCAGGAGCTGACGCAGAGGCCGTGGAGGGGTGCTGCTTACTGGCTTGTTCTTTATGGCTCAGCCAGTCTGCTTCCTGATAGAACCCAGGACCACCAGCCCAGGGATGGCCCCAACTAAAATGGACTGGGCCCTCCCACATCCTTAATTAGTAATATCGCTTAACTAAGAAAATGCCCTACAGACTTGTCTGTATCCCAGTCTCATGGAGTCACTTTCTCAGTTGAGGTTCCCAGCTCTCAAATGACTTTAGCTTGTGTCAGGCTGACAGAAAACCGGTCGGCGGTGGGGGGGTGGGGTGGGGGGTCTTGCTAAAATCTTCAGCTGGGTGAAAGAGGCTTCAGATGACAAAATCTTCCGATGGATGATCTTCAGAGCAATCGTTTCCAGCATCAGAGGAGCCATGGCCACCATGAGGAATCCAAGACTGTGCTTCTTAGTCCCAAATGAAGAGTGAGGCACAAATAACCCAGAAGTCTCCCCGAGTGCAAGTTCTCCATCACAGACAAGATAGTTTCTATTCTGGAATGTTCTTTAATGAGAAAAAGAGCCCTTGCTTGACAAAACCCATCTTGCCTCTTTGCAAATGCTGGTCTCAGATACTGATTTTTGTCCTCCTCCTTTCTAGGCCTTTAGGTCCATCCGCTTCCTTCCTTGTCTGATTCTTGCGATTCCTTTATGATGCTGGGTGTCCTTATGAATCTATGCGAAGCAGGGAGGATGAGAGGGGAACTCGGTCGGTGGCACCAAGTAATTACAACAGACTAGGTATCAAGTCCCATTTCAAAAGGACAGCCATTCGCTGGGTAGATACTTTTCCAAAGCTATAGATGAGGAATATGAATGTCAGATGTGAGGCTGGCTCCGAGTCCTGTGGGTGGGAAAGCCTGCTTTCTGTCCATCACCGCCTCCCAGAAAATCAGAATGACTCAGGGTTGGCCGACCTATCCTCTGCTTGGATGGCTTGCTTCTGTGCTTTCTCCTGCGAGCACAGTGGAGACTCTCTAGCAACTCTGGAAGGATTTGTCTTTTCCGTCTTGCTGCTGGGTGCTTCCCTGGTCTTCACAACCCACTACTGAAGCCTGCACCATGGAATACCCCTGCCGTGACATCATCTTGGAACAAGCCCATTGTCCTCCTCCGTCCAGTCCTCTGTGTGGGGATAAAGACTTCCGCAGGCCTTGCTGCTCAAGCCAATCCAACCCAAGAGCCCCGCACACACACACACACACCCGTGTGTACCTGCTCTACCAAACCAGGATGATTTGCAGGACAGCGCATTGATTGGAAACAGGTCCAAGCGACACTAAGGACCCATCCCTGGACCTCCTTGACCAGCTGTACTGACACATCCAGCCCCCACCCCAGACACCGGGACTGTACCAGGCGTCTCTTTGTGGAACTAAATTTCTCCAAACTTAGAGGTGGCAAATTCACAGAGGTAAATGCTCCCAGGACAGTAGGAAGCAGTGCCTTCAAGACCCACTGGCTGCCCAGGGGAATAGCAACCCCCTCCATGCACCTCTCCCCGCTTCGAGTGAGGGGACCCAGCCAGCTCTTTAACTGGATCGGTTTTACAGTCCTCTCTCACACCAGCTCATGTTCGCTGTGGACTCCACGACCATCTTTCTTGCTGAGCCAACAAGAAAAAGTTTAAAGCATTCGCTGCTTACATCTAAAATGCTTCCAGACTCCGGGCTTCTTTGGTGCTCACCGAATCACATTGAAAAAGAAGGCTGAAAGCTTTATGAGTTGAAAATTCAGGCTTATCATTGGGTCTAACACTGGTCAGCCAAGGCTCCGGTTGCTTTTAAACACGGCTCAGTGGGTTTTAACTGAAAGATACAACTAAATATGTCATCATGTATTCGTCTTTCAACTTTAATTATTGGAAACAGCCTGCTTAGTTAAGTCCCTGGACCCACATTCTGACTTGAGGAGTCTTTCCTCTGACCTCTCCAGGGAACACTCCTTGACATCTTTAGACACACTAGAAAGAAATCTGGCAGCTCTACTTTCAGAACCACCCAAAACGAGGTTTTACTTAAAGGGAAAGTGTGCATTTGTCTTTAGACTAACTGGATCCTGCTGTTTTTACGGATGGAATTATGACTTATATGTTGACTGTAGAGGAAAGTTCAGCTTCAGCCTCAAAGGGGATGCCACGGGGGCAGGTTGTCAGGTATGAAAGCTAAGTGCCTAGCTAGAGAAGGGCTGGCAGCCAGACCTCAGGTTTGCACCACAGATGTGCTGGGTTGGAGTGGTAGCATTTGCCTTCTTGCCGTTATAAACTCTGAATCCTTGCTTTAATGCCTATGCACATGGGTTAAGCTGTTACGCTCCAAGATGGATGGGTCGCTCATATTGAAAAGTAAGAACACCTGTCTCAGAGGATAAAGAGGATGAGTTTTATATTTTTCATCAGCAAACTTACAGATTTCCCTTCAAATTTCCTCTTTACTCAAAGGAATCGGGTTCCGTTTTTTTGTTTTTTGTTTTGTTTTTTTTTGCCATTGAGCGTCCCTGGGGTCATTACGAGGCTGTTGGCTGTGTCCCACCGTTGACTAGCAGTCTCCACAGACCCAGTGTCTGAGTTTGTTGCTGTTGTTGATCGCCTGCATGGTTGCAGTTCTTTCTGGGACACTACTGTACGCCTGAGACTGACTGCATCACTCTTGGGCCTTTGCATTTTAGACTTCCGGGTCCTACCGCAAGGGTGACTGCTGCAGGCAGCGAGGCCAAAACGCGGGGAGGGTCAGCTGCTGCCAACAACCGACGCAGCCAGAGCTTTAACAACTATGACAAATCCAAGCCTGTCACCTCTCCGCCACCACCGCCACCACCAAGTAACCATGAAAAAGGTGAGTCATTGTCTCTTAAGTCCTTCATCAGTTTTTCTTTCCAGCCAACCATCTGATTCCTTTGGGTGGGATCAAAACCAACCTTGCAAACAAGATGAACAACTGTGGGTTAAGCATGCACACGTTTAGCAAGAAGGGCGTTGTCAGTGGCATTAATATGGTGGGGAAGGTATCGTTATATTCACAGCCAGCCAGCCAGAATATTCTTTGTTTGGCTCTGGCCCATAAGATGCTTGGCTCCAGATAAGAAACGGGATGCCATTTGAAATTTGAGATTAAATTTTCATAGAATATATGCTGTGCTTTAGAACGGTTTGGGGGAAATACACACGTTGGGGCCTATCAGAGATGATGCAAAGAGATCATTATTAGGAATACGGTCATTTTCACCTTTGAAAATGAGTCAGCATCTGGCTTACACATAAGAAGCAGACAGCCTTACTTCTGGGGCTGTGATGATGTAATGGTACGTGACGATCTATGCTACTGAGCTTCCGGGATGGAGGGAAGGCAAGGTGACTGGCCCCATGGACGACCTCCACCGAAGGCAGTAAAACACACCTTCACTCGTGTAAGCCTGCAAGACTTTTGAGAATCTGAGGCAGATTAGATGGCTCTCCAGTGGAAGACGGGCCCCGCCTACCCGCCTACCAGGTGGAGAGGCTACAACACACAGCTGAGTCTCTCAGAAACATTCCCTGTGGTAGTGTGGAAATGTCCTAGAGCTTACCCCGGATCATGTGACTCCATCCTCCTGAGACACAAGCATGCTGCCCCTCCATCCCTGACGTGGCTTAGGAGCCCAGGAGCTACCCCCCCGTGTTGTGCATGAACCCCGTCCCGTCCTATCTGCTCCCCAAGCCGGAAACACTTGGGTCAAGGAGCTTGATTCCCTCTGAGAGTTTGCTAATAGCTACTTTTTCCCCCTCCTTCAAAATATAGGGGCGATATTTTTGATTTTACAGGGCTAATTTAACTTAATTGCTAACGTCTTATCCAGGATGGATGGACCAGTGGCATCTATGAGATCCCGCCCCAGGTTTCTGTCACGTACAAAATCAAGGGCTTTTGTTTAGTCCATGTGGTTTTTCGGTCTGTTCGTCTCACTTTTGTGGTGCTGGGGAACAAACCCAGAACCTTGCCATGCTAGGCAAATGTTGTGTCACTGAGCAAATGCCCGACTTCCCCATGCCATTCTTTATAAAATTGTGCCTGGAGGGGTTGGGGAGATTGATTGGCAGTTAAGAGTCCATGCTGTTTTTTGCAAAGGACCCAAGTCCTATTCCCAGCACCCAGTTTGGACATTACACAACCACCTGTAACTCCAGCTCCAGGGGATCTGACATTCTCTGCTGGCCTCTGAGCTCTTGCACTCACACGCACATACCCACATACAGACAGACATACACATAAATAAAACAATATAAAACTTTAAAATCCCATAAATCTGTGCTTAGAATACAAAAATCACATCTGTTTGCAAAATGGTACAAGAGCACATATTTTTAAAGTTCTCTTTATATTTCTTAACAAGCAGCAGTATAAACCAAACTGCACATGCCCTTTCAGAACTTTCACACGCCGAGCGTTGGTGGTGCACGCCTTTAATCTCAGCATTTGGGAGGCAGAGGCAGGCAGATCTCCGTGAGTTCCAGGACAGCCTCCAAAATAATACAGAGAAGCCCTGTCTCGAAAAACAAAAACAAAAACAAACAAACAAAAAAAAACCAGAACTTTCACAGTATGGCCATATAAATTCAACACACACACACACACACACACACACACACACACGTGGAAAGTTTTGGGTTTTACCTCAATAAGGAAAAACTATTTTCTTTTTAGTTCCTCCTGTATCATAGCTCATTTATTCCCTCTTTTAAAGGGATGTATCTAATATGTACCAAAAAAAAAAAAAAAGGTCCTGGCTACTTGCCAGAAGCAGGGAGGGTGAAGTTGCTGGGGGATGAGGACTTTGAAATAAGACAAATGGTTTTAAGGTACCGAACTAATAAAGCCATTGGGTAAATCTGGCCTTCTTCATAGATATCATTGTGCCATCAGTGGCCTGGCATAGTAGAAACTCCTTTGGGTTTGTCCTCTACCTATGAGGTCCTCCATCACTGAAACACTGTGAAGGGGGAGAGATGCCCAGCTGCTCTTGCCGTTGTCCTGGTTGCCATGGGGACCTGTACGCTTCCTGGTGGGCCTCCTCTGGTTTTTGTCAGCTACATCACCCCCTGCCCTCTCCTCCCTGTCGAGAGACATTTAGATGACCTTTAGCACTTTGTCGTTTCTGAGTTCCACTGGGCCCATTGATTAAGGGCGTCCATAAGCATGCCACTTTGTGGTTGGGGACAACTTTGGGTCAGTGGTTAGAACCCGTGTCCTGCACTAGGATTCTGACGTGGCACCATGCGTCGAGTGGATGGAATGAATCCAGTGATCTTAAGTCCTGAAGAAGGGAATGTGGCGGCACCTCTTTGATTTGCTTGTGACCATGAATGGAGACTAGCATGGGGCTGGCATCGGGCCGGTTGTAGGAACTAAGGGGCTAAAATGCTGCTTTCCAGAGGTGCACGGAGAGGGTAGTGCCCATGAGTGCCATAACAGAGAGATGCGTAGAGTCGTGAGTGCAAAGATGACATAACCAAGTCTGCTCTGGGGGGAGTCTAAAGTGACACTGCATTGCTTTCCCTTAGGGCTAGGATGGGAGCACAGGAAGGTGAGTTGCTCTAAAAAGCAAAACTTTTCTTGGTATTGGTCTGGATGTTGATCTAAGAACAGATCTGCTGCGTTCACTTTTACATTAAACTCAGTTCGGTAATGGACATTTCCGAAGTTGCCACAGTGATGGGTAGGCGTTGTTGGTTGTTCTGGAACTGTGACCCGTTCCAGGGATTGCTGAGGATAACTGCATCTGGATGCAGCTGCAGAATTACTGTGATCCTTGGGCTGCATCCATCATGGGGAGGGGCATGGTCTCAGAAGACCAGAATCAGGTATGTACCAGGAGGCCACTGTTGCATCCAAACAATGCTCCAGGGGATTGTCTAGGGATGGAGCTCTGTGCGCCCAGGTTAGGCTGTCAGGCTGGACTGAGCTACCACACTCAAAGCCATCGCGGGGCTCTGGAAGAGGAAAAGGCCTGGCCAGCTAAAAAGCCACACTTGTCTGGGAGGCCAGACTACAAATGTCTGGAGAAAGGTTTTTCGTCTCCTGTTAAAGCCAAGGCAAGTACTTTGAAGACATGACTAAAGTTGAATTCATGGCCTTGCTACTTCCCAGAAGTGTGACTCTGGCTATTATGCTGCCTACAGATAGCCGTCGCGGTACATCTGCTCCCTTAAAGACCATCTCAGGCCACACTGGTGCCACTGTACTTGGAAGGCTGCAGACAGCCACTGCAGGTCCCGGCAGGCCCCCCACCCTCGGGTGCGTCTCCACAGGGTGGGCTCCGCAGCACGTGTACTAAGGTCTCAGCCATCCACGTGCAAACCCATGCTCGCCAGTCTCTGTCAACGCCACTGGAGCTGCATCTCTTGAAATAGCTCCGTTACTTCTGGGCGCATTCAGTATGAACCCCAAGTTAGCAGCCATAGGCCTCAGACAAGCCCAAAGTGATGACGTCCTCAAGAGGCATTCATACTTTATTGGTAGTTCTTCCCAGTCCCAAGGTGACTGAAGAGTCAGAGGCCATTTCCACCATGAGCAGTGGCTAGCAACTGAGTGGCTTTCCATCTTTGTCGGGCTTCCAGGGGGACAGTCAGAAAGGTCACCCCAAGGTCCTATTCATACACACATAGTGGGTTTCTTTAATCCCTCCCCACCGGCAAGTCTCCCCACTGCTCAGAGACTCAGCTTGCTGCTCAGTGAATGGTACCAGCAGACCCTTGTCCTCAGGAAGTTACACACAGGGTGTTCTTGCTTGGATTTTTTTTGTCCTAGCCCAATCCAAATTTGGTGTCCCAGTCACCTCTCTATTCATTGTAGACATTTCCGTGAAGAGTCCACCTGCCATTTCCTCGTAGCTGGACTTGGTTGGCATCACGAGTGTCACTTTCCCGGCACCAGAAACCCAAAGCGTAGCCTGTTAATGTTCCGTTTCACCAGTGGGGCGGTGGGGGCGGTAGCTCCAACAGGAGGTTTCTTCTTTACGGCTTGACTTCGCACCATAGCTTCCTTTGGCTCCCAATTATGGGCAGGGTCTAACGGAATAGATGAAAAGTCCCCGTATGCGTGGAGGCTCACCACTCCCAAACAGTGTCCAAGCTCATGTAGTCATTGCATAGTGCCCACGCAAGCCCAGTGAGTACACACGGGTGACTGGGTAGTCGTCACAGAGATCGTGTTCATCATCTCGGGTAGCGCTGGTAAATTCAGAACTCTAGATCACTGTTTCTCTCTGTCTGTCTCTCTCTGTCTGTCTGTGTGTGTGTGTGTGTGTGTGTGTGTGTGTGTAAGTGCACACATTGTAGCGTGCATCTGGAGGTCAGGACAGCCTCAAGTGTAGGTCCTCCCCCACCCCCTGGTTGAGATAGGGTCCCTTCCTTACTACCTACAAGCTTCCAGGGATTCTCCTGTGTCTACCTATAATCTCACTGTGGAGACACGGGCGGTTGCAGATACTTGCTACTGTATCTGTCTTTACCTGGCTTTGGGCGGCCGTAGGAGCTCAGGTCCTCATGCTTGCCTGGCAAGCACTTTTACCCATTGAGGCGTCTCCTCGACATTATTATGGGTGGTGGCGGTGGTTTAGGAGCCCCAGAACAGTGTATGTGTACCAACCAGAGCGAGGGAGAGAGTAAGGAAGGAGACAACACAGAGACAGAGCCTTCCACAACGTCCGTGATTGGCAGCTGTGGCCTGTGGGACACAAGTGCCAAAGTACAGCCTTTGTCACTAGTTTTCAGATTCATCATTTTTCAGTGGCCCTTTTGTTAAGTCCAATAGATAGCCTGAGTTGCGAGAATATGGAATGTTTTCCCATAGGACCAAAT